AGCGCCGACGGCGGCTTCCACTGCCAGTGCCCGGCCGGCGGCTTCGAGACGCCCTTCTGTGAGGTGTCCACGCGCTCCTTCCCGCCGCGATCCTTCGTCATGTTCCGGGGCCTGCGCCAACGCTTCCACCTCACCCTCGCCCTCTCGTGAGTCCTCTCTCTCCTCCGCTGGACACCAGCACTGCTTGGCTCCGCTCCGGTCCCTCTTGTCCACCCTGGGCCTGTCCAGGGACTCGCTGGTGCTCGCCGTGCCCCTGCGTTACTGGCTTTGCCTCGCCACGGGCTGCCCTGGTGCCTGTCACCAAGGGGCTCTGCCAAGGGATGCTCCCAAAGCATCCGCTGGATCAGACTCCCAGCCCCTCCCAGCTGGGCTTGCACCGGGGCCAGGCCCTGGTGTCTCCCTGTCCCTGTGCCAGGATGCCGGTGCCGTGCCGTGGGCGATGGGGATCTCCACGTCCTCCTTGCGCACACCCTGCCCTCCCGCTTCCTCCCTCTCCGCAGGTTCAGCACGGTGGAGCCCAATGGCCTGCTGCTCTACAACGGGCGCCTGAACGAGCGGCACGACTTCCTGGCGGTGGAGATCATCCAGGGGCAGGTCCAGCTGAAGTACTCCACAGACAGGCTGGGCCCTGCCAGTCACAGGTTGGTGCCGTGGGAGCTGCGAGAAGGCCTCCGCTGAGCGGGGTGTGGCGCTGGATGGAGCCCGTGCTGGGGGAGACGGGGCTGGGAGAGGGGTTGGTGGACGTCAGTGTATGGCGCTGGGGATGGGTGTGTGTCTCGGGACCCTCTCTAGGCTCAGGAGTGCAAGTGCAGCAGGGGGGTTGTGAGCACAAACTGGGACAAACCCTTCTGGGGTCTCTGCTGCCGTTCTGCTCCGTTGTGTCACTGGGAGCTTCACCTCCTGCCTTGCTGTGAGCTAGTCCGGAGAGGAGGACCTTCTTGGGAGGGTGTTTGCTCCCTTGTCGGACCCAGCCCCACTCCCTCATGCCCTTGCTGTGCCCCTCCTGCCTCCCCAAGCCAGGGCACCCCAGCACCCAGCCTGGACAGAGCAGCCATGCTGGGGTGCTGGCTGCCGGCCCTGGGGCTGCGATTCCCCCGCCCTGCTCCTGCCCCGAGGCCTTAGCAGGCAGGGGCTGGCACGCTGAGCTTGTCTCTCCGAAGCCTTCTCCATCCCGGCGCGAGGCCATCGGCAGCACGGAGGGTCTGGTGCATCCAAGAACTGTCGTGCTTCCCTCAGCGCGCCATCATTCCTGTCCCCGCAGGAGAGTCCAGCACGGTGGTGAGCCCCTACGTGCCGGGAGGCGTGAGCGATGGGCAGTGGCACACGCTGCAGCTCCACTACTACAACAAGGTACGTGGGCCCCAGCTGCCCCATGTGCATGGGGGTCTTGTCCTGCGAGGCGTGAGCAAGCAGCTCTGGCTCTCCTGTCATCCAGCTCTGCCCCATGGGAGAGGCTGTGGAGAGAAGGTGGAGGTGGTTTTCAGCCCTTGGGGATGGGTGCAGTGGAGCAGACAGCTGGGTGCAGGGGGAGGCTGTCCCTCAGGACCACACTTGGAGGCTGCAGG